CCTCTCTCTCTCTCTCTCTCTCTCCTACCTCACTTTTTGATTTCAGCTTTCTGAGTCACTTCTTTCTTTTCTGACGTTTGACTACACCCCACCAACTACCATTTTCTCTCTCCTCTGCCAAATACCTTCTCCGCGTATAGAACTGATACGACCTTTTCTCCCATTCATAGTCTGCCTCTACTGTACTATCCTGTCTACAACATAAATCGAAAATAAATTAAAATGCATGGGATTCAATATAAAGCTGAATGAAACATCGGATTCAAAACTAGTAAGGTTTTCGTCTCTCTCTCTCTCTCTCTCTCAAGCATCAGTGGTTTCACACGAGCATTATGTGTTCACTCCCCTTCAAGTCTCCGAAGTCGGCCAAAGGGATCAGATCGTTGTCGTCATCATTCCTCGTCTCAGTACTGCCACCAGTCTTCGCTCCATAACGCGCTCTCCTTTCGCCTTTGTCGCTCTCTCTCTCTCTCTCTCTCACGCGTTTCTCCAGCAGTTCGGTAGACCAGGAGGAGTAGGAGTTGAAGCGACTCGCCGTTTGGCTCTTTACTGCACGCCATCTTCTCATCGGCTTTTCATCGAAACCTTTTGTGTTCCCTCCTTTCGATGTAATCGCTGTGGTCCATGCAGCATCATCAGGTTCACAGTAATCAACCCCACCTGAAACAAGACAAGATCGAAAAGGCTGCTATTCCACCATTTTTTCCTCTCCTCATCAGAAACTACTTGCTCCAAAATTCAACCCACCATCACAACATCACATGTCGATCGAAAAGGCTGATCCACGAGCATGACTTACCCAACTCCAAGCTCTTCGATCATGTGAAAAGAAATAGGCATCTGGATTGACATGTTTAAGATATACGGCACTAATATTTGTTGAGAGGGGGGAGAATAATTCCAAAAATCAAATGAAATCGCAGCGATCAACAAGCTAAAAATATATCAGAATTTTTTTACTATTGAATTTTGAAGAAATACTGTGATGTTTACAATTTGAAAGGCTAATCAGTTCCCAAAATATTCATACGGGAGAAGCAGTCAAGAGGTAACTTTAAACTGAAATGTGGCCGCTTGTCTTCTTCTTGGAAAGTAAATTAATTTATGGGTTTGAGAAGATTCGCATATTGGGTATTTAAATGAACCAAAGGATCACGTAACAGCGAGCAAGAATTCCTTCGGCTGTTGAGCTTGCTTTATCAATAAGGAAGGAAGAAAGCTAAGGGTCATCGATGAACACACAGTGGCTATGCATGTGTCATGCCTTCCCTCTCCCTGAAACAATGGCCACACGTACAAAGTCTCTTACTAATAGGGAGTATATGTGAATGCTTGCAAAACGAAGCTTCTCCTCTGACAAAGAATAGAATATTGCAACTGTGGTGTGCACGTTGAAGTCTCTCTCTGTCTCTCCCATCCTTCTTCCTCACCCTAAAAGCCATGGCTGACTTCATTCCACGACCTTTAGACTGCCTTCATCTGTGGCCTTGAGAACTGTCGCGGTTTGAGTTTGATCAGCAAATCTTCCATCCAAGCCAGAATCACAGAAGCAAGGATTCATGGAGAGTTCGTTCCCCTTCGTGAATTGATATCGATCATGTCATGAGGGGTTCCATTATGCTTTCCATTTATGCAAAGTCTAAGAGTTTGGACTTCCGCTAATCAAGGAAGAATGGTGCCAAATCACGGCAGTTCTTAAAGATTGATGGTTAAGATCACTGCAACTCAACAGTATCGATATTAACTTCGTGGATGGCTTAGGAATCCTTGAAGCTTGCCAACAATAGTATCCAGTCTCCATGAAATGGATCTGTGACATTACACTAGTCACCGAAGCTCATGTAGAACTCCCATGTTTGTTCAAAGCAGGCCTACAAAGGAAAAGGAGAACAACTCAAAGCAACAATGTCAGCAAAAGCATGCCACCATTTTCTTCTTCCTGACGCACGCACGCACAATCAGGAAATATCAGATGGGGAGGAAGGTTGTGATGTTACATGTAGCCAGTAGGCATACCAACTCCATAAAAGTTCTCATTATTTCTCTGGAAGAAAAGTAGAAGAAATGAATCATTAAAGAATAAGAAATTGGAAGTGTACATGCAGCCAAAATATTCAAAGCCATTGATTCAGATTTGGACACTTTTGATTCCATTAAGTTCAGCAACACCTTTCCCTGTTTCAGCAGCCAATCTTAAAAGTCAACTACCATACCACATGCAATTTCTTGAACATATCATGGCAAGCAATTTGTATGTGAACGGTTCCTCGTAATCTAAAGTCTCGCGGCTGATGCAAGGAAGCACTAATAGCTGGACGACACATTGATACCAAATCATCCATCTCAGTATATGATAAGTAGATGAGATTTCCCTAACTGTTGAGGAAATCTCTCTACTCTGTTGAGGGAAATCCTCTAACCCGTTGAGGAAACTTCTCCTTCTAACCTGTATATAAAGACGGAGGATATGTCAATAACATTCAACTATCTCTTTATTTTAACATGGTATCAGAGCAGCTCCTCTTGGCGACAGCAGCATCGCCATGTATTAGCCAAGCGGCCACAGTAGCACGTTGCCTCAAGTAGAGTCATTGAAGAAGCACCAAGACATGGATTCAGAGCCAGTGCTAACCGGTCTTGCTTTTCTTCGCCGGCCTTGCTCCCTCTCCTATTTGCTGCCTACAGCAGACACTCTCCGTCGCCGTCACGCAAGGAGGAAAACATTCTCTCTTCAATAGCAGTGAACGGCGAACAGCGGTGTCTTCCTCGCTTCCCGGCCAGTAGCAGTCGCAACTGCGAACAACAATCCACAGCAGGTGCCGGCAGC